TTATGTCCTAAGTTACTCCTAAAGATTTTTGGGAACTTGGCTACAAGGCGGTCGTCCAGTGCCGAAGAGGAGCAGCACAGCAAACAGCAGCACTCAAAGACGACAGCTGTTAGGATATTATCCATTCTTAGCCAACACAGTTCTTTGGTGACATAAAATTTCATTCACCATAGAGTTCATTGCACGTGAGCGGCATCTCATAAACGTACATATGAACTTCATACATATCAGTCAGCGATCCATTTGCAGCCCGCGATTGAGCAGGAGTTCAGGGTTGGCGATCCTGACTCTAATCACGTTCTGCAATTGATTGTACGCCCTGCTTGCGCACTTCGTCAGAATGGGTCGCAGATTTTAGTAATTGTTCAAGAGTTCACTGCATATTATGCAATAGTTTTACAAACATCAGAGAGAGGATGAAATGCTGCATTGGATGCTTTCAAGAACTTTTGCAAATCTTTGCTGCATTAGATTTGGCATTCATTTGAGAGGAGCGACACTACTTTTGGAACGACCTAATATTAGGTTGCTGCATAAGTTCTGTCCGATTTTTTTTGCCTTATGTTTGAAGCAGCTCTTCTGAGAGAATTTCATCTCTAATGCGGTATTGTTAGTATCATTAGAAAGTGCTTTTCTTGCGCTTTCTAAAGCATATCAAAATTCAGTAAATTTTTTAGTGTAAGGAAATTTCAGGCCTAATCCAAGTGGCCGAGGTACAATCTCACCCTAGAAATACGCTCTTGCAAGGAAATCTCCACAATGCGCCCTTCAGGTCAAGTTTTTCAATTGGTTGCGGAATAAGGGTGTAACGGTCTAGCATACGCATAAGTTCAGTTTCCTGAAGAAAACGTCTTGCTAGTGAAATTTATTGTCAAACATTAATTTTCTGTATAATGTTTTACAAGTAATAACTTTCTGCGAATAGAAGTAATCGACGATTTCAAAGTTGGAGGTGCTAGGGTAAAGCAAGGGCTAGCAGAGACCATCCACCAATTTCTTTTCGGCGCTCACGTTAACTGTAAAATTTTCATAATTCGTAAATAGGCACGCACACATGCGCTGAAGCGAGATCAAAAAGTGGCTGCTTTTTTGCTCGGTCAAAAAAATCTCTCAGCAACGCAGACCCTATGTGATCTTTCAGGATGCAAAATAATCTACGAAAAATTCTTTATCTACACACTGTTAGACAAGATGCCTATCAATTCTCGTAAGGGAGCATTGCCATGTCAAAAAAGACAGGTGCGAAGAAAAACGCTGTGAGGCTTTTGAGTTCTTGCTTCTTCCTTAACGAGGATTTTTGCAGATTTCAATATGTATCTGATAGCAAAGGAGTTGCTAAACACACGGAAGCTAAGATTCTGGGAAAAAGTTAACTTTGAAAGAAGTTATGACATTTCGAACTCAAAAAATTCAAATCTGACAGAACTTATGCAGCAACCTAATATATCAAAAACTTCTTTCGAGCAAAACGCTACAGAACAGATCCGACCTGAATTTTGCATAATTTTTGCGATTGGGTGGTGTCATTCATTCCCAGATAAGCCAAGTACGCAAGAACTCGTGCACGAAAGCGCCTAAGCTTCAGCCGAGTCATTGATTTCAGATTGGCAAGATGGCAATTTGTACCACGTAAGGTGGTGCAGGGCCTTATAAGAAGCTAATGCATTTGCCCTACGTTTCCACCTAATCCCAATCGGGCCATTGGCCACCCGGTTTGAAATTTCAAAATAATGATGAAACGCTTTGTGAAGATTCCTGATTTTTACCTTTGATCTTCCTGATATATTGAATTCTAAAGGAATCAAATTCCAAAAACATGCTAATGATATCAAGCTATATGCTTTCTAAGATGAACAAAGCCATTGTTGCGTTCGAGATTACAGTCTCCTATCAATGCATTGAATGTCTGGGGTTCAAGAAATGGGTCATCTGTTAAAATAGATGCTCATTTTTGCATTTAGGAAAGGTTTCCCCGCTAAGTTACGAAGTTGGAATAGAGTTGATTACACGTTCAGTAGTAAACGACATGGGTATTTCGTTGATTCAAAACTTGATTTTACGGAGCATATTGACTACGCAGTAAAGAAAGCCTATTCGTCATTATTCATTATTTTTCGAAACATCCATACCACTAACCAGACAATTTTAACGAGATTATACGATGCTTATGTAGTTCCTCACCTGGAGTACTGCTCTCAGGTGTGAAACCCAGTAAGTGTGAAGCAAAGCTCGAAAGTTGAGAAAGTTCAACGTGTTTTTACAAGAATGATTCTATCTCGTAGTCAAAATACTTCTGGACGAACAATACCAGACCACAAAGACCTGCTTAGAATTACTGGATTGAAACCACTGAGAGTCAGAAGAAGTATTGCTGACTTGGTTTTCTGTCTCGTATTTGGAGGAAAGAGATTAATTATAGTGCTGGCAACTTTTGGGTTTATAGACCAACTAGCTGCAGGCATGGAGGACTCAATCTCTCTTATGTTAGGCTAAATAGGCACCACTGCTCCGGACTTTTCAACTGTCTTTTCTATTGTTGCATACGCTGGTTTCGATGTTTGCCTACTAAACTATTACCATCAAAAACAGTAATTCTTTCAAAAGTGGACTAGAAAAGCTTGATTTAAAAGAGATTCTGAATAATGACATTATCTTTGTTGTTTGTGAGATTTTTCATCCAGATTTTCCAGAAATCCCTTTTTGTTAGATTGTCATCCATTTTCTTCCTCAGATTCCTTTGATAGAGTGATGTCTGGGAATTCTGAATGAACAACGGTGTATGACTATTTTATCACATAGACTTTTAGGTTCAAGGATTTTGAAGGATCCGCAGTTGTGGTGGAGTTTATTTTTTTAAACTTTTTATCCTTTATACCATTAATCAAATCCTTTGTTTCAGGTTTCTACAGCTGCTGTGTTGTCTTTGTGTTACGCTGTTTGTTTTATGTACTTCACTGGTCTTTGCTACCGTCTTCACGACTGTTGACCGCTCAATTTGCATTCCAATGAATCGTGCTCACCTCAAAAAAGAATCATCTTTATCGTGGATTACTTCAGCTAGCCTGGCACCGGGGGACTATTTTTCCGGTGCCCGCTTGCCCATAATCACATGGCCGCCTACCCCCGCCGATTCTCCGAGTAAGAGTTCTCTGTGATAGCGAATGATCTCGTCTTATTTATACCCAGTTCAGCTGTTGGGAGGGGGTTGGAAATAATCTTACCTGGTTGTCCCCGACATTCTGAGCGGTGAACCGCACACGCATGCACGGCCAGGTGAAAGCCCATTTCAAGGCTAGGAGTAGAGGACATTAGGTTGTCGAAAAGTAAAGTTTCGTGCACACATCTGCAACAAATGCACACTTCTCGCCATCACGGCTCGTGGTAGCAATACGCAGGGGTGGAGCTTATTGTAGACTTTCTGATCTCTAGCCTGGACTGGCCCTCTGCTAACGAGGTCCAGCAGGAGACTCTAGAACACAGACTCCTTGCTCGTCTGCTTAGGCGAAAGCACCGGTCGAGCGAATTTCACTAATTCGGGCTGTGACGCGAGCGCCCGGCCGTTGGCCTCACCCGGTCATTGTGGACGCTCACCCGCCGATATAAACGTTGCCCGGCCCGGTCTTTATAATCGCTTGCGCCTCATTGTGGATGCTCGCCCGGTCATTGTGGACGCTCACCCTCCGATATAAACGTTGCCCGCTCGCCCGGTCTTTATAATTCTTGCGCCTCATTGTGGATGCTCGCCCGGTCATTGTGCATGCTCTCCCGGTTTCTATGTTTGTTTGCATGGTCATCTTAGACAATCGGCGGGGAAGGCGGACCGCAAACTCGCTCTTTTTTGCAAGCGGTTAACAGAATTTTGGGCGTGCTTCAGAGGGCGGTACTTCCTTTATGTCGGTTCTGCGCAGCAGCAACACAGAACTCTGTGGACGCTTGTCATATAATTCCTCTCAGCAAGCGCTGACCAAACCTTCAGCACGGACTCTTTTTACGCTTCTCTAATCTTCCAAATAACTGCAAGCGAGCCTCAAGAAATCAGCGAACTATTTTTCAGATGCCCGCTTGCCTATAATCACATGGCCGCCTGCCCCCGGCAATTATCTGAGCAGCTTCCTGCTGCAAAAGACGAATTTCGAAGTCAGAAAATTGCTCCAGAAGTACAACTAAGGTGACTTCGCCCATCAGTGTAAGTGGTCGAGTTTCCGAGTGGACTTTGAGGTATATAAAGATGTCGGAGATTTTATAATCATGATGAAGGGGCGTTCATGATAGTTACGGATACCTTAGACCTCACAGACCATCCGCGATGTTGGGCGGACCCACCTGGCTTCTACTTCTCTCGTTTCGGAATTCATCTTTTGCAGCGGGAATTGAATTGAACAATACCTTAGCTGTAGCGTAGTTATCAACAGCATCAAAGTCTCATTATCGTCGAATTGGGTTGAGGATGCCTCCAGGGGCGGTATGCATCAATCTCCCGTTTTGAAAGCGGGCGATCATTTTCAATATAGAAAACGATCGCCCGGCCGGGTTGGGCGCCCGACCCGTGATGTATAATTTCTATTGAAAATGATCGCCCGCTTTCAAAACGGGAGATTGATGCATACCGCCCCAGACCTCCTTTGGGCCTAATTCTACAGAAATTTTCTTCAGAAAACACAGAAAGCAGTTAAACTTCCAAGATCATTTTGCAAAAAAACAGTCTTAATTTTTGAAATAAAGCTTGCTTTTCTTAGTTACGACAATGAAGATAGCACCATGTCTACAGATCGTATTTCTGGAATAGAACTGCCCCTAAACCCTGGAAAATGACTTATGTTTGGTTTCGCGCCTGACCATGATTATTCCAGTACTACATAATGCTCTGTGTTTGAGCGTTTTGCATAAGCAAAAAAACACACAATTGCAAAATAATTAATTTTAAATTTATTTTCATGCTTCAACAACACATCAAGGACGATATATGTGCTGTGACTAAAGTATAACGTGATTGCAATATTAACGGAATTTTTGCATTTTTAGAGATGAGTCAGCGTTTCGCTCTTTTGTGGGATCGCAGACGTGCTCTTGTTGATTCTTCTGTCAGCCTGCAACAGATGAGCTGTTCAAGCTATCTCTTTCTCCTAGCTTTTTCATTATGTACTCATTACGGTTCTCCATAGGCGAATTTGAAGCTGTTCAGTTGTGGTCTTCCTCACTATTCACACTTCAAGTTTTTGCTCTTGAGATAGGAATCTTGCGCTGTATTACCCACTATATTAGTCCTTCAGCCATCTTCGCCCGGTCTCAGACACTGGGAGCGGACGAGCCGCGACCCTAAAAGGACTTTCCGACCCGCCCGCTGCCTTAATTGGGGAGCGTGGCCGGGGTGCGGTCGACCCGCAGCCCTTCGTTCATGTCATTATCATTGCATCGGGCGCCGAGTAAGAAAATGGGCTTACCGGCTCAGCTGAGGCCCCTAATGATGGGGCGGAGCATTGCAGCGGCTGAGACGCGGACTGAAATCTATGTAAGGCCTCGGGCAGAGTTCGCGCGATTTCATCGTCGCAATTGATCGCTACAAGACAACTGTAACAATACCATTGCATGCCGATCTTCTTACTTTTCGGTTGTGATAGTTTTCCGACATGACTAATCGTGACTAGCTATAAATGCAAGAAGATTGGCATGGAATGAATTCGTAACACATGTCTTATAGCGATTGAACGACGACCAAATCGCGTGAACTCTGCCCGAGGCCTAAGAAACTCCGGCCGAGCCGCGACCTGTGTCAAATGAAGGCCGCGGCTTACCGCCTAGTGTCTTAGCGTAAAGTTACTTGCATGATGTACGACGCATGGTCACGCTGCTTTCATTGTTTCCAGTCTCCCAGGCAGGAACAAGACCAACATACTGTCTTGTAAACAACCCTGGATAGCAACATATCGTCTTGTAAACAACCCTGGATAGCATTTGGCGTTATCCAATTTTGAAATCGGATGGTTTCCAAAACTGCTATATCGATGGTTCAGTTTTGTTTTTACTGGGTATTTTCTTGTTATCCAGTGAATAAAAGACAGTTCTACCAAGTATATGTGTCGCCTTGGCAATCAAATTTTGTATGATTTAGTTATTAGGTTGTCAAGAAAATAATGTCCGTTTTTATTTGCTTGCTTTAACAAAGCAACCAGACTGAACCCAACAAAGGGTAAGGGGTACTGTTCGATAGAGCAAAGCAAGCTCTACAAGATGGCTTTCATGTCTTTGCGCCAAGCTCGATCCACTGAGAGTTCGAACTCAAAATCTAAAGATTTCCAAATGCCCAAAAAATCGAAAAAAAATCAGATCTTCGTCCAGATAATTTCTACGGACCTCCCACTCGCTCATATCAATACTATCGATATCAGACATCCATATGTGCGATTGGCGTATTTTTTCCTTGACTAGAAACTGAGAAAACGAAAATTTCCCTGATTTTCTCAAAGCAATGCTGAGCCGTTTCTGCATATGTAGTTTTATACTACAAGCCTAGATAAGCATAACTGTAGGTTTTCAGCCTATTTCGAGCGGTACTTTTCGAGAAATGTCGATTTTAGCACTGAAACTGAAACGAAAAACCCGAATTCGTTATTTTTCGAAAACTACCGCTTGGAATGGGCTGAAAATCTACAGTTATACTTACCTGGGCTTATAGTATAGAACCACACTTGCAGAAACGGCTCAGCATTGCTTTGAGAAAATCAGGGAAATTTTCGTTTTCTCAGTTTCTAGTCAAGGAAAAAATACGCCAATCGCACATATGGATATCTGATATCGATAGTATTGATATGAGCGAGTGGGAGGTCCGTAGAAATTATCTGGACGAAGATCTGATTTTTTTCGATTTTTTGGGCATTTGGAAATCTTTAGTTCGAACTCTCAGTGGATCGAGCTTGGCGCAAAGACATGAGTGCCATCTTGTAGAGCTTGCTTTGCTCTATCGAACAGTACCCCTTACCCTTTGTTGGGTTCAGTCTGGTTGCTTTGTTAAAGCAAGCAAATAAAAACGGACATTATTTTCTTGACAACCTAATACAAAGGGGAGCCTTATAAATGGTGGGCCAAGGCGCAATTAGGCCGAGCTAGAATGAATGACCACAGCCCCACAACCAGCTGCAGCCGAGCCGAAGCTCATCGCTGGCTGAGCCGAGGCCACTTTCCGGCCGGCCCCCGCAAGCTGCGATTCCAGCCAGAAAAGGGCCGCGGAACAGGCGTGAACTGAATAATGCGCCGGGCGAAATCTGCTCTGACTTAGTACCAGGAGCATATCGTGTAAAGATATAGTCGCTCAATACAATATCCATCGTCTCCCAGTTTTACAGTAAAACAGTCGTAAAATAAAATGGCAGGATGTCGGGTTTATCGCATAAATACCAAGTTGTTCAACATTAGTCCATTTCGCTGCTGATTTTGTAACTGACGTTATTCTCACAAAGAAAGTGATGGTCGAAGTGGCCTTTTTGAATGGTATCACTACACGATATATAATAACCAATGGTCACCTCTAATTCACAGAGGCTCGCATTGACCCTGCTTTCAGTATGCCATACTCATTCCCGCATAATAATGACATTGAAACTCACTGCGCTATGCAGGCTATCACGAATGATTTGTAAACAACTACTCATTCCGAGAGCTTTTTTTGTGTGAGATACGCGTGGATGAAATTTTTCCGAGAAGAAAAAATGAGAATTTGAATAGGTTTTTGGACTTTTCATGGCCTGATAATCTCCATAACAACTATAATCACCGTGGGCTACATCTCTATGCAAAAACAAATAATCGGGTAAACTCTTGGCAAGTCGAAATTTACGCAACTAATTCTTTCTGGCGCCATTTTCGCAAAGTAAACAACTTTAGTTCAATTTTATAGGCAAAAATTTATGGCTTGCTCATTAGTTTGTCAATCATACCCAACACTTTGCAAAAAGTCGTGGTACAGGCCAATTTTGCCGCCAGAAGCCAAGCGAATCCTTGAAACGCAGTTTTTGAGGGATCCACTCAACGGGTCCACTCGTGTTTTTGCATAGCGGACTTTCATGCAGCTGGCATACGCCAGGCAAAATTTGGGTTCAGAACGTTGGCCGGAACTCGATCCTCGAATTTCTTAACTGACAAACGGACACACACAAAAAACTAAACATCCTTAGCCCGTTATTATAAGTTATGTTAGAATCTCTACATATATAGCAGAAAATTTGTATGTTTGTGCAATTTTCCCATAGTCATAAAGGATGAGTGGTGAAGCTCATTTTGATTTGCTGGTCAAGATATGGTAAGGGCTGTAGCAAGGGAACAGGAGGTAGGAAGGGAACCCGAGACGAGTCGGAATTAAAAGATGCGTAGATTTGTTACATAAAAGAAGGTGCACTATGAACTGACTCCAAATCGGGTGGAAGCCGGGATGCCAGCTCGTACTATACTAGCTGGCTTACCCGGCTCCGCCCGGCCCTGTCAAAAACGATAAAGGTTCCATCTCTATCCTTGTACACCTTTACCTGTGCCTACTTCTGCGCGCAATACCCTACTCTCGCTGTGTTAGTAATCAGTATGCTCACCTACCTTACCTACCTGCTCACCAACCCCAACACGAAGTTTGAGCAAGCTCTACGACGAAAAAAATTTTTGGGGCCCGGATAGCCGAATAGCGCCAAACTAATATTGTGTTCGTAATCAGCATGCTCGATTACCCCCCTGAGCCAATCCCAGCCCCATAGGTGAACTCAGCAAAAAAATCGATAAAAATCGATAAAATCGATATCGATCGATGACGAAAAGTAGCCTATGACACCCGCCGGGGCTCGAAGTGTATGTGTGCCAACTTTGATCCGGATCGGTTCAGAAATGGAGTTTTCTATTCGGAACATACGTACATACATACAGACAGCCAGACAGACAGACAAACAGACATTCAGCTTTGTATATAAGATACCAATAAGCGATCCTTGGTATATATAAGATACCAATAAGCGATCCTTGGTATATATAAGATACCAATAAGCGATCCTTGGTAAGGCAATGTTAGAACTACTTTCGTTATCTGCCAAGCGATTCTGTGGAAAAGTTCTAAGGCCGTTTTTTTTCACGTGCTTCAATTTGGCCACTTCGGACATGTGATTAGATATTGCAAATATAGGAAGACGGAGAATGAAAGCGCTACCAAGGCTTCGAATGGATTAACATTCATGCTAAGTAGGAACCGTAATATGGTCGTAAGAACCTCTCAAGTTGAGGCAAACGGGGTTGTCAGTAGAAGAACCTTGACTAGAGCGAAGATGTTGGGAAGACAGGTGTAAGCACTCATTGACACGGGTTCAATGATTAGTATTCTTCGTATTCTTCTCGTGAGGGTGCTTGTAGAAGCGAGGGAGAGTGGCTACGACGTTGAGTCACTTCAGACATTTGATGTCTTGGAGGGAAGCATATATGATGCATCAAATCATGTGATGAGCTTTCTAGGAGGGGTAAAGGCAGAAGAGGAATTGGAAGGGGGGTGCAAAAAGGAAGTAGCCTTCCATGTTTCGGACGATGAAGACAAGGAAGTACTCATCGGCACGAATGCATTGAAGGATCTAGGAGTGGAAGTAGTGGTACACCAAAACCCTGACGTCAAGGCAAAAGTGATGGAAAGAGTGATGATTCTTCCATGTAAAACAAGGATAGTGAGACTTAAGTGTGAAGCGGGAACGAAAGACAAACAGAAAGAGTCCTTTGGCCTTCAAGAGAGGAAGTATCAAGTGGAGTGTTTTCCATAACGAGGGAGGAAGCAAAGGTGCCAGTACTGAATACGGGTACGGAGCCAATGGTACTCCCGAGACGAGTAAAAATAGGCACATGGGGGACGAATAAGTGGTACAACCATAGAAGACACAGGTGTCATGATGTTAGACAGTAATGAGGAGAGCGACGAAGTGATAGGCAGATGATGCTGCAGGACCAAATAAAAGAAAATAGGGAGTCCAAGCTGCTCGAATCCGACAAGGAAGCCTTGAAGGACTACTCAGAATGCTTTGCAGTGGATGAGAAGGAGCTTACCCAAACAGATCTAGTCAAGATGAGTATCAATACA